AAAAAAAAAAAATCGTCCCCAGCAGCTTACGAAAGGCGATCCCGTGTGGTTGTAGTGCAGAGCTACATTACAAGCAGTAACAACAAGCCAGCTCCAGCTATTCGCAGTAGCAGCTGAAGGACTGATCAAACATAACGCACAACGCGATTACAAGCCTGCCTCTCATAACGCGACGCGGGATGACAAGGAATAAATCATCCAGCTAATAACAGCCTAGATAACGACATATCTGATTGCAAGAGCTTCACCTTCTGCAGCCAAAGCGATAGCACATAGGTATAAGCTCACTTCTACTTTTCCCTAAAAGAGAATGCACTCCGGCTAAACTTCAGGGTCCATGGTTGAAGCAAGGACTGTGTCGCCTCCGCTGACTACGTCGCCGATTTGAGCGTGATTCACGGAGCGCCAGCGTTCGGTGAGGTGCTCCCCCCATTGGCAGCAGGTAATGAGCGAATACTGGAGCTGAGGGCGCGAATTTGTGGCGCTTACGCCTCGTTCTAGCTCGTACAGATAGCGTGTGCTTGTGACACCGTTTGCAGCAGCTTCTAACACGCTTTTTAAATGCATGATCAGCGCAGCAAACGTGGCATTGACGACTTCTATAGCAACATTAAGGCGTGCGTCAGGAGATCCCAAGACGTACCGGAACAGCTCATCACGAAGCGTCATCAGCTGATCAAACTGAGCAAGGGACAAACGCTGCTTCAGGTCTTCAATTGTTGGGGTCTGCACAGGTAAGTCTGGAGATGCATACCCAGCGAGAACTTTTGCTACGCTTTCATCCTCACGAGTCGTTGTCCCGATATAGGCAAACGCCTTGGAAAGAGACTCAAGAAGCCAGGCACCTCGAGTTGAAATTCACTGGATCGCCAGCTTGGGTGATGCTTTGGCGTAAGCTGCGGAGCCTCTTCGTATGAAGTGGCTGGTCATATTGGGGGTAATGGATCGGGTTATGATGGCCGGCATATTCTTCATGGTGTCGGGAATAACTGCGGTAACATAGCTGGCTACGTTTGGGCGCTTGCTCTCACGTTTAGACGCTGCTCTTTCTCCTGTACCACTGTCTACTTCCAGGCTCTCCTAGTACAGGCTTCTTCCTGAGTATACCCTCCTGGGAGATCGGACTCAGTGTAGCGTGGAACGAGAGGAAATGTATACACGGAAGGCTTATCGTAGCACACGAATAGCACACCCAATGCATGCACCATACACGGCTGCCATCTTTCAGCAGCGCCGTAAATGGAGACACCCTGTACTACAGACGTTTTGGCTCTTGCAATATTTAGGAAGAGTTTCCCAAATGCAGCAACGTTGAGCTGATGCTTCCGCGCAAAGCACGGGTCGATGGCCCTTCCAAAAGAATGCCACATCATAGTTAGTGGCGCGGCATAGTGTATTGATATTACACCAGTAGCAATACCTGCATGCATTATCAGGTACTCCGCTAGCACGCATAGGTCGTTGACAATGCATCCTAGGGCATTATTTCTCTGCACAATTGAACGTAGGTTACGTGGTGAAGTGACAGTTGGCTTCTGGGGACAAGGGACTGATTGATGGAATGTGACCCGATCCAGTTCGGAGACTCGTGGTCGA